ACCGCCCCCGCGCCCGCGCCGCTCCCGCCCGGCTGCGCCGCCGCTCCCTCCGCTCGGCCCCGCCGAGACACCGCCGAGCCGGCGCAACCCAACCCGCTGCCGCTGAAAACAAGCGCTGACTGACAGCGGTCGGCGCCAATGGGCGAGCGCGGCGCGCGGCGGGGCGGGCCCCGGCCGGCGGGACGTGGCGCCGCGGCCAATGGGAGCGCAGGTTTGGTTGGCCAAGCGCGGGGAGGGGAGGGCGCTTGGACGAGAGTTCCCAGAGCGGGGCGGGGCCGCTGGGCATTGTGGGAAGGTGGCGGACCGGGGGCTTTATGGTGGGGCGAGCAGGGCCGGGCAGCTCCCGTGACCGCAGAGCCGCTGCCACCCCCTCCGCCCTCCACGGGCCCATGGCCGGACCCCACTGGGCCTGTAGGGCCTTGGCGGCCGGTGATGCGACGGTGTAGGGCGGGCCCGGGCCCCGGACGATGCGGCTCCTCCCGCACCGCGCGGGGCACCCGTGGGTGCCCGAGGCCAGGCAGGCCCGACCCTGAGTGGGAAGGACCCGTCTCAGCCATAGGCCCGCGGATCTGGCCAGCCTGGCCGCCTACAGCTGCGGCAGCCCTCGGTGCAAAGGAGGAGAACGCCGAGGCCCTGCAGTGCCAGCCCAGCGCTCCCAAGCTGTGGCTGCTGCTGTCCCCTGACCACGAACCACTAGAGCCTGACGAGGACAGAGCCTGTCAGGGTGAGCTCTGTGGGTGCCACCTCAGAGGCCTTCCTCACTCTGCGTCTCTCCACACAGGGGGTCTCAGCGCTAGCTTTAACCCAGGTTTCCTCATTACTTCCCAGTAGATCCCTGTTGACCTGTACCAGGTGCTCCAGCTGGCAGCCTGATACATCCCCTCCATGCCACATCCTCACGTTCATCCTTCTGCTGCTAGTGCAGCTTTATCTGTCAGAGCAACTCTCTGGGAACCTGCCTCCAGCAGAATACCTGCCATCTGGATTCCCCATACACACACCCCTCTTGCAAGCACCTGTGGCTGCACACCCATTGCCCTCCTTGCATGGCTGCCCAGGTCCCCCTGGCTCCATTTAAACCTGGTGCCAGTGTGCCCCAGCCAGCCATGTGCTCTCCACGTAACCCTCCATACAGAAAGAAAGAACACTTGAAAATCAGAAGATTCTTTTTACCGTGGCCAAATCATGCAGCAGTAGATGCTGCCAAAATCTACATGCTGCAGCTCCCATCTTCCTTTCAGACAGATGCCAGGGCTCCAGCTGTTGCAAACTGTACTGGGATGGCTGGGTACCCTGATGCAGCAGGGTCTCCTCCATCCCAGTCCAATGGATCTGTAAGTGCTGTAGTACATGCCTTTTGTTTCACATCTTTCCTCCCACAAGGAGGGGAGTAGGCAAAGCAAGACCTCTGCGTATTCCATGTGGCAAGATAAACAGATACACCCTTAACTTTCCAAAGGAGAAGTCTCTTCCCACCTTTCTCTCCCCCTGCTTGTCATGCTTTCTCTTACTCCATCTGGTGTTGTTTCTTTGTCTGACTTTAAACTAACTGAACCACTCAGTTTTCCAAGTCTCTTTGTCTTCTCTTTGCAGGTGCTTCTGCTGGTATTTTGGAGTTCTTACAGACATCCAACACCACCCGTTCTGTCTGTATTCATGTTCCCACACCTCCTGGGCTGGGCTCACTCACCTTCCCACATCTACTCTGCCTATGGGTCTGTATCTAACCAGTCTTTTTGAAGGTCCAAAAGAGCATGATAGAGCTGTTATGTACCTGTCTTCATTGTTACCTGCCTGGCTTATTCTGTGGTTTGCCAGTCCCTACCTTGTGAGACAGAAACACGAGATATGCACAAACAACAGGTTCTGTTTTCCACTTAAATTCCACCTGCTCCTCTTATGTCTGTACTATTCTCATGAGCTCTTTGCCTCAATTAAAAGGAGATTCTAACCTTTTTTTTATAAGTGGTTTGTCCATAGTTTGGCCTTTCACAGCATCAATACCTCCTATTCTTACGTTCTCTTACTTTCTTTTCCAGGTGCCCCACAGCCGAGAGGACTGTTACTCTGTCATCGCTGATCTCTATAACCCCTGCAACACTGCTCTGGCAGGCAAGTCAATTTGACCTCTTTGCATGTTCTCAGGCTGTCAGTACAACATAGTGTGTCTGGGGTGTGCTGAAGAGTTATCTAGCTGGGATTGCTGGGCTGCTTTGAACCGTGAGGTGCTATATGCTAGAAGCTATTGTTTTGGTTGCAGAAGGGAGCAGGCATTGCCAGCAGGTCAGGGAGGTGATTCTGCTCCACTCCTCAGCCTTGGTGAGGCGTCACCTGCAGCGCTGGGTCCAGTTTTGGGCTCCTCAGGACAAAACAGACACAGAGCTCCTGCAGTGGGTCCAGCAGAAGCTACAAAGATGGTGAGGGGAGTGGAGCATCTCTGTTATAAGGACAGGCTGAGGGAGCCGGGCCTGTTCAGCCTGGAGAACACCAAGAGGGGATCATATCAAAATCCATAAGTATTTGAAGGGAGAGTGTCAAGAGGGTGGACCAGGCTCTGCTCAGTGGTACTGAGCAATAGGACAATGGGCAGAAACTGATGGACAGGAAGTTCCACCTGAACACAAGGAAGAACTTTTTTACTGTGTGGGTGACCAAGCACTGGAATGGGTTACAGAGATATTCAAAGGAAGAATGTGTCTGGACACAATCCTGAGTAACATGCTCAGGGCACCCAGCCTGAGCAGGGAGGTTGAACCAGATGAGCTCCACCGGTCCCTTCCAACCTGGTCTGTTCTGTGATTCTGTGTGCAGGGTGTGGCAGCTGCCCCATCCCAAGGAGTGGGATGGGAGTTGGGGGATCACACAGAGGCCCTGGTAGCTCACCCTCAGGAGTCTGGAGGAAAGACCAAGGCTCAGATCACACAGCAACGTCAAAACAAAGCGGGGAGCATCACCAGGGAGCGGAGGGGAGGAGCAGGAAGCAGAGAAGTGCTCTGCCAGGGATGAGAACGAGAGAGCACAGGCAGCGCGGGTGCTGCTGCCACCAAGCCTTTGCCCAGCGGACATTCCAGCCTCGTGGCTGAACCGTGCGGGGTCAGACCTGCGGCGAACCCGGGCCCCCCGAACAGCCCTTGGGGCCCCGTGGGGCCGCTCCCAGCCGAGGTGCGGGGCAGGGGCACGGCCGGGCACTGGATCCTCTGCACGCGGGGTCAGGCATCACCCACTGCTCTCTGGTTGCAGATGGGGACCGGGGACCGAGCTGCAGAGCAGGTGTCAAATGTTTCAGCCTCCCCCAAAATTAGTTTTACAAGCTCTTCAATTGTCTGTCACAGAAAGATGCCACAAAAAGATCTGAGTTCTCTGAAAAGTAGGGGAAAGGCACTGAGATCAAACATGCTGACAAATACAGCCTGTGACAGCAATTGGTGGATTAGTTTTTTTAAACCTTGTGTTTCACATCTGGTTTGTCATGCTGTTGTAGGTGGGCTCAGTGCACAGTAAACTAGGAAAACAAACGTACATTTTCCATGATCCTTTCATCCCCTAGGATCCCAAAGCACATCATTTAATTGCACTCAACCTGCACACAGATTTCATAAATAAAGAAATGATGAATTAGCATAGCTGCTGCAGCATTCACATGAGTTACTAAGACACAATCTCCTTCTGCAATCAATCTAGCCTCATGCTTCACTGTTTGTCATAAATTGAGGTCAGGAAGAAATGTTCTCCCTACCTGGAGGAGCGCTGCTGAACTAGCCAAGTACAGAAAGACTCTCAGGGGTGTAGTAATCTGTCTTCCCTGTGCAAGTCTCAGAAATTGTTGCAAATATTTATTTGATGAAGCTCCCATGCAGTAGATGGACACTGAATCCTGTACAGGAGCAGGAGGAATGTGGTGCAGGGTGGCCAGGAGAGATTACCTGCCTCACACGAGGCAGGAGGAAAGCCTGGATGATCCCTTTGACCTTAAAATTGCTATCTCACTCCTCCCTTTGTCCATCAAGGGAACGAGATGAGAGAGGTGAGAATCCTTGCCATGCCCACAGCACAAGTGGGCCTGGTCAAGAAGCCACTCCTTTGCCCATTCCAGCCCCTGTGGATCACTCCCACCGTCAGACTCAGTCTGGACCTCATATGCAGAGGGATTCACATGGTGCTTCTGGAAAATACTTGTCCAAGGAACCTCCTCACGGCCAAAGGGCCAGTGGATTCTCCTGGACCTCCAGACCATGTTATAGCTCCAAATTTCCTGCTTATCTCCCGCCAAATGCCTCAGGGACACCACCCAGAGCTAAGTCCTTCTCTGGAGCTTGATACTGACCCAGCCCTGTCCAGGGAGCATGCAGATTCAGGCATCCTTGCTATGTGCTTCCTAATCACAGCTCAGCTGCAAAATCCCTTTTCTACTTCCTGCAAGGAGTGTGAACTGTTCCTTGCACTTTGGCTGGTAAAAAGGATAATTACCCCTAATCAGTCTGCAGCAAAAACATAGGCCACAGCAGAAGGGAGGGGTGGGGGTCAGCCACCATGAGAAATGGAACCCAATTATTTCAAGTCACTGATAAAGTGGGATCACAAAAGGTAGAAACGTTTTACCAGCTGTAAAAAGCCTGCCCAGACCAAGGCTTTTCCTGGAGAAAGGCCCTTTCTGCCTACGAGCGATTCCTGGCTGTGCACATCCAGGGGCCGTTTCCCATTTTTCTTCTTGGTGTGGGTGGGGAATTTGGGCCAGTGCTGGGCAGTGACAGGGGACGAGGGGCAGCTCTGTTGAATGGCATCTGTGCACTGCCAGTGCCACGTTCGTGGGGCGGGCAGTGCTGGCTGCCATAGGTCCTCCTCACCTCCCTGCGAGCCTGTGCTGCCCGTGCAGCCCCAGTGCTCATCGCAGCTCTTTGCTGCTGCGGGGAGACTGTGTGGCTCATAATGGCAGCAGGAGAGTTGGGAGGTGGTGAGGGAGAGGAGGAAACAGCCCCTTATGTGAAAAATACTGCAGAGGCAGATCGCTTGTAAATCACTCCCAGACCTGCCCAGCCCTTGCCTCATGTCTGGCTGATTGTATTATGCTCTCTGGAGAAAGTTTAATATAAAAAGCCAATAATCCCCATGATAAGAGGGGTGATAAGGGACAGTGTGGCCTCAGATCCCACCAGTGCTGACCTGGATGTGGCAGGGGGCCTTCCTCCCCACCCCCACCAGCCCTGGCCTCCCCAGCCCAGCCGGGCAGCGTGGACCTGGCAGGGTTGCCGGTGGGCAGGAACTGCAGGCCAGAGCCAAACTGCAGGGCTGGGCAAAGCAGAAGCCAGCCCCACTGCTGGCAAAGAGGGGCTGGGGAAGCAGGGAGGGAGGAAGGGAGAAGTCTGTGAGCCCCAGTAGCGTGGCATGGGGCCAGCTGTGGCTAATAGCCCACAAGCTGCCAACCACTGTGCCTTATAAAATACCTCAGATGTCTGAATATGGGGTGGCAGTGGGGGGTGACAAGCTGCAAACCCAGGCTTTGCATCCTGGGGAGGGACTGGGATTTGTAAGCAGGTGGCTAACAAATGTGATATTGATGGCAGCTGAAGTATAATGAGTTTGGTGAGTCTCAGCCCCGTTTCTACTGGAAAGAGTCCACAGCATTCAAACCACAACTGAGAAGCAAAGGAGGAACCACCCTACCTCCAGTGGGGTCCTGTCTGTGCCACCCTGAGGTATGCAGTGCCTCAGAAAGCCTAAGCTCCTCAGACTTGATCATGCAAAGCACCTGTGTATGTGGTCAGCTTTAGGAGATGGGACTCAAGCAAGGTCCTGAGGCTGTGGAGAAAGGAAAAAACCTTCCTTGTCTCAGGCCCTGAATTGCTGCTATGACTTTTTTATTTCTTCCTCTTTAATTCCAGGTAAAAGAGACAGTATTCTCAGGCAAAAAGCAGAATCTCAGAGCCTACATTTTCATTGTAATGACAGCATGGATTTCACCTTGTGTCCAGAGCTTCGGAGAAGAAAATGTCTGTACAACCTCTCTCCTTGAATCAGTTCTGGAGTGGAATATAATATCTGAATAATTTACAAAGGCTCTTCATTATACAGATTTATTTTTGGCAGCTTTGTTAGACTGCTTCTTTTAGGAACTAATAGGAAGTTTCTCTGGTTCCATTAGGACATCCCTGTACAAATCCTTCCGTCTGGGACCAGGGGCTGGGACAGCTTATTGCTCCATTAGCAATGCAAAATATAAACTCCTGGTCCTTGGGTAACCAGGCTCCAGCCAGATGAGTAAGGATGTCCCTAAACCTGCCATCTCACAGGAAGTGGGAACAATGGCAAGATCTTCCCTCTGTGGACAGGAGACCAGTATGGAGGCACAGGAGAGGTCTGGTCCTGCACCAGCTCCAAGCAGGAAGTTGCTCCTGCTTTCCAGCCAGACTGTATTGACCCCCACTGACACACATAGGCTACTGCCTGGGCAAGGCTAGAATTCCCCCTTCTTCAGATGCAGATGCATTCCTGGCTGGAAATAGGCCCATTAAAAAGTCATTTACCAGGCACAAGCGAGTTTGTGTTCCCCTGGATTGGGATTTGCCAAGATTATACCATAAATCAGAGTGTTTCCTGGAAGAATGTGAGGAGGGGAAAAAAAAAAAAAAGATAAAATGGAACATTTTGTAGCCAACAGAAAAGCCAATAAAGGAGCATTTCATTTCCCCCTTGGAATGGAGCAACTGCAAGCTGCTGCAAGGGGAGGGATGGCAGTGCAGGGCAGTGTGAGCAGGGCACCCGTGCCTGCTCCAGGATGGGGGAAGAGGACAACAGTGACCTGGTCTGGTCTCCTGCACACACTGACTACAAACTGCATCTCTCTGCCATTGAACAGAGCCTGAGCCGGGGCGGCTCAGTTTCTCTACATGCAAAATGGGGGACCAGCAGGCCAGCCCGCTGGGGGAAGACTGTCTGCCCTGTTTTCCAACCTTTATTCTGTCGGGACGCAAAGCCTGCCTGCACTATTAATAATCCTTGGCATGAAGCTGTCACAGTTTCCACTAATATGGAGATGCTGAAGTGAAAAAGCTACTGCACAACATGCAGGAGGTGTCACAATAACTCAGCTGCTATATTGTTCTCTTTAAAAATAAATACCACAACAGGCCAGCCCACATTGCTGGAGTCATGACGTGTAGGGTTTTATTTTTAATCAGAAAATTTACTGATTTTTAAAGATAGACACAGAGCAGCATCTGAAAGTGATGAAAGTTCCCTGTGCACTCTCACACACCAGCTGTGTTCCTGCCTGTTATTCTCCGGATGGTTTCCAAGGACCTGATCCCGCCTCAGCACAGGCACATTTGTGTGTGTGGCTTTTCAAGTGGCCCCATGGCAACCAAGTCCTTCCAGAAATAAAGGTTGTGGCTGAATTCCCCACTTCACTGCTCTCTGTGGGGAGACAGTTGATCCCCCAGGACACAAATTGCAGGGTCCACTCCTCAGGCAGCAGATTTAGGACCAAACTTTGCCTCCAGAGCAGAATACTCCGTTGCAGGTGAATTACCTTTCCTTTGCCTTCCTTCATGCTCAGCAAAGGCATTTCGCGCTGAAATAAAGCAAAACGAACCCCTGAGTAAAAAATACCCCGCCTGTTCTGCTCGGGGAAGGACGTCAAATGAGCTGCGAAGGGCGAGGAGCTTCATTGCCCGGCAAGGGCCCGCCTAGAGTCCTCGACCTGCTGCCGGGCCAGCCGGGCCCCGGGCCTGCCCCGCGAGCTCCGCGACCTGGCCCGGGCCAACGCCGCGGCCTCCGCCGGGCTGGGCTCGCGGCTCGGGTCCTGCCTCGGCCGCGGCGGCGAGGAGCGGCCCGGGGAACGGGCCGAGGCACCGGGAGGGTGCGAT